GAAGATAAGCTCTGTTTGTGCTACCTCAAAGCCACTGATTATTCAAGCAGCTAAAAGCCATTAAGTTAGAGGATGAAGACTTGGAAGGAGTTAGTTCATGTGCTGTTGCATGGACAGCATAAAGGATACCCATCGTTTTTATGTGCTTCCATGATGATTTGTCCTGAACCAAATCTGGCACGTTGGAGTGGGATGCCTGTGTGGAACAGGTGTCTGTCATTCAGCCATCATGTTTTAGGTCTGGGATTTTTCATCTTGCTTTCACTGGGTCAATGTCAAAGATGACTTTTGCAGGGAAGTTGGTAGGCATTCAGAGCAGCTGACTACACCACTTTGGAAAGAAGGATCTGTTCATTCTACTTGAATTTTTACCATTTGATGTTTTCAATCATTTGGAGATGCTTCATGTGACTGGTGTCCAACTTCTTTTCAGTCTTAACAGTATAGGCCATGTTTCAGTCCCATATGTCAAAAAACTGACCACTGAAGCATTTATATAATCCTCAGCTTTGTGTCTACTTATCTTAGTAGCCCAGGTTGATATTCTGGTTTTGAAAACTGAGAAAGGAGGTGCAGAATTGAACTTAATTTGTTTTAAGTTATGTGAAGTTACTTTACTTTTAAAGTCCACCAACTAATTTAACCTGGGTTTCCCTTTATTTTTGCTCTTAAATGTTCACACAGAGAAAAGGCCCTCAGAAACTCTATTGCAGAAACTCTGAATATATTATTTTACTTGTTTTTACTTTACTATTTTACTTACCTCACCGAACCCAAAACCAACCTGAGGACTTGCTAGATAATTTAGTATCATGATACAGCTCATAGATAAATTACTAGCTTTTGAATAAGGGATATTTTACAAAGTTTACTTTTCTTATATAGTCTTTCAGTGTTGATGCTGGAAGTTATTCTACATTAATACTGCTTTCTGGAGAAAAATTTAAAATGTTGTCAAGGCTGAATCCCCACTCTGTCACTTCTAGTGCAGAAAGTGCGGGGGGGCCTGCAAGGATTCTAAAAATTAATACTTCTCATTCCAGGCTTGTATTAAACTCCCAAGGTTACAGCTTTTCTCTGACCTTGGCTTGGTAAACACTGCCACCACCCAAATGCAAAAACCCCCTTGGACCCAGCAAGGAGCACTTGGGAATTCTTCCCTGTGGGGTACCCTCAAGCCCTTTTACCCCCCCTTCACCCCCCTTCTCCCCCAAGGAAGAGCTGAGAAAGAAAACAAAGGAAATTAGCTGTTACCACCAGCTAATCAAACCGCATATGCACAAACCTCTTAGGACACCAAAAATCCAATTCCTTCTTGAAAAAGGTAAATTTGATTAAAACAAAAAGAAAATAAATACATCTGGAACTTAGGCTGTTGCTAGATTTTAAATGAGCAATTCCAAATATTAAGCACCCAAAATAGCTTTCTTGGGGGTTCAGCTTAAAGGTTACAAGCGCAAAAAAAAAAAAAAAAAAAGAAACAAGGGTTAGCACAGAGGAGATCCACAAGCCAAAATAAAGAATAAACCTGATCGCGCTTATCTAAATGTTCCCTATCCAAATAATTACTTCTAGGTATGGAAGATAATTTTTCATACCTGGTTCAAACCTTACACAGCATTCCTGCTTATAGCATTGCTGCTCTGTCCCTGCAGCCCAGAGAACAGACAAAGAGAGAGTTTCTTTCCCAATTTTAAAAAGTTCTACCTTCCCATTGGCTCTCTTGGTCAGGTGCCCACTCCTTTTCTTTTACCTGTGGGCTTGTTAACCCTTTACAGGTAAAGCAAGCAGACCCAAAGGGATTTTACAGCTAGCTGGCTGGCTGGGTGTCCATCAAAGGGAGCTACTTCCCTCTCCCCCACCTTCATGTATCATACATGTAGTCTTGAGCTTCAATACAACTATACAAACGCTATATTAAAGAAATGTTAAGGTTGAAAAGTCAAGTACTCAAAGGTTAAGAAAAGCCAGAATTAAGGTTGCACGTTCCACTTTAATTTTGCCCGTGGGGGGTGTGTGTGTGCGCGTGCGCATTATGATTGTCTTTAATTTCCATGATCACGGTTTCCCACAGGACCCCCTGCCTCATTCAGTGTACAGGTGACTTACAACTTGATCAAACTTGAGCAGATTTTCTCAGGCAACAAAAGGCACGTCCCTAGCACCAGGCTATATTATGCTCCCAAGAGAATCCTCTTACTGAACCGCCATTGAAGCTGCCCAAATCCTGCCCCAAGGAATTATCCAGGGTAGTAAACTGCTTAATCAATCCTGAATGCCTATAACCTGTATCAGAGCTGAGTTACTAAGCACTGCAAATAACTATTGACCAACTTTACTGAAATAGTCATGTGTATGCAGGTAGTCTTCTCAAACAGCATGGATTCTCTCTGCCTGAAACCACCAACCAACAGCCTCCCCTGCATTCCCAGAGTATAGTACATTCACTCATGAAGACGTTCTGGGTGCTCTAAAAAGAGTCCTGACCCAAGACTTGCGAATCTACCCCATGCCCTTCCTGGCTCTTGAAAGAGAGTCATGAATAACTGGGTGCCACTTAAGACTAAAATAGCCAATGCATCTTTCAGAGAAGGACTCTTCCCTTCCTCTTTCAAACATGCAATAGTCTGACCAACGCTGAAGAACCCCACCATGGATACTTAGACCTAGCCAACTATTCCCAGTGTCAAACCTCCTATTCCTGAGCAAGCTCACAGAGAAACTAACAAAAAGCCAATGACAAGCTCATCTAACTGAAGCTACCATTCTGTACCTGGAGTAGTCTGGATTTAGGCCAGGATGTGGAACTGAAACTGCTTTAGTGGAACTAATGGATGAATAATCAGTGGATAGAGAACAGACATCCATTCTCATCCTCCTGTACCTCTTTTCCACATTCAACACATGACCATGTTATACTGCTGTATCGCCTGAGAGAGAGATGGTGGGGTCCAGAGTAATGCACTAAAATGGTTTGAATATTTCCTGGAGGGATTCACCCAACAAGTAGTGATGGGAAACTGCATCTCCACCACTAGACCCCTCACTTGTAGAGTTCTACAAGGACAGTTCTCTCTCCAGTCCTTTTCAACATCTGCATGCAACCACTAGGTCAGGGGTGGCCAACCTGTGGCTCTTCAGAAGTTAATATGCGGCTCCTTACCTAGGCACTGATTCTGGGGCTGGAGCTATAGATGCTAACTTTCCAATGTGCTGGGGGGTGCTCACTGCTCACCCCCCTGCTCTGTCTCAAGGCCCCTTCCCCTGAGCCTGCCATACCCTCGCTCCTCCTCCTTTCCCCCCATAGCCTCCTGTGCACGTGAAACAGCTGATTGCAGTGGGCAGGTGGAGTAGGTTCTGATTAGTGGGGGCTGCCAGCAGGTGGGAGGTGCTGGGGAGCAGATGGGGGGCTGCTGGTGTATTACTGTGGCTCTTTGGCAATGTACATTGGTAAATTCTGGCTCCTTCTCAGGCTCAGGTTGGCCACCCCTGCACTAGGTGAACTGGTCAGACAACATGGAATCAAGTGCCAGTAATATGCAGATGACTCACAGCTCATCTTATCCTTCACCACATATGCCCAAATCACTGCCACCAAGAAGGCCTAGTGTTTGGATGAGTTCAGCTCATGTATGAACAGCAGCTGGATGAAGCGAAAACTAAGCAAAACAGAGATGGTGCTGGTGGGCAGAGTTTTCAGCCACGGTGCATTCTCTTTTGATTGAAGTTCACATCCACAATTAGTCAATTCAGTCCATGGTCTAGGATTACTCTTGGATTCCTTGCTGACACTGAGCTCTCACATAGCAACAGCCATGAGTAACACTCATGAATAACATCTCTGGTTGGCTAGGAGACTGCCACATCCTGTTGGACAACGACCTGGCCTCAGTTGTTCATGTCTTTGTCACCTCTCAGCTGGACTACAGCAATGTAGTATACCTGGACATGAAACCTTCAGTATTTAGCAAATTCCAACTAATATATAAACTGCAGTATGCTTCCTCAGCAGCACAGGCACATCACACCCATACTCTGCTCTCTACAGTGGCTTCCCACAGAATTTTGAATCAAGTTGAAGGTCTCAGTCCTTATCTTCAATACACCCCATGGCCTGGGCCCAAGATACTTAAACGTTCATCTTAAGCTCTGGTAAAAAGACCATGGTCAGCAGCTTCACTCCTCTGACACAATGGAACGCAACAATAAGGGTAAAGCTCGTCTGTGTGGGAGACCAAACTTTCTCGGAGGGCGATCTGAAACTGGAATGAATTCTCCCAAGAGCTAAGGCCCCCACGAACCTTACCACTTTACCCTCCAAGTACAAGGCACATTTTTTTTTACCTTGCCTTCTCGAATATAAACGCATAGTGTTTTTTTTTTAACTTTAATACAATTTTGCTAACCAAAACAAGATGCTTCACTACATATGCTGCTTCTGGTGAGAGGATGAGATCCGACAGGTGACAGCTGTCTTGCTTAATGTGCTACTGGAATGCTCTCAGATGAGTACAGTATAAAAACCTATCTAGAATAGACATTCCTTTGTCCTGATGTTGATGATGATTGTATCATTGCATGCTTGTTGCATTCCTTTGTTTTTGCTTTTGTATGTTTAAAAAATAAGTTCTTAAAATAGCATTTACTAGAAGAAATTGGTGTCAGACTACAATTTGATCACCTATTGTAACTTTGAAAGAGGTCAGTTATATCCATTACACTGTTGGAAAGCTGTTGAAACCCCCCAAATTTATTCTTGGGGGGGGACACTTTATTTTACTGTCTGCCCCAGTTATATGTGTGCTCATACCGATTTAGCAGTGCCAAATAAGTATTTTATGTTTCTAGCAAATGTAAAACAGGAAGAAAACTAAAATGCAGTATTTTTTGGCAAAAACATTATTCTAGTTTTTAACCATGTACAGCAGTTTCAGAAATGTACTTTAATGTCACAGACAACTTCTGTTGCATAGTTTTTTTTTCTTATTCATTACTGACAGGTTAATGCCCCCATCTATGGAATTTGGAGTTGTTCCAATGATGGTGGATGCACCAGAACTAAGTCCCCACCCTTCAGCTCAGGTCATCAGATTTTCTGCCTCCAGCAGCAGGTAGTTCATTTTCTTCTTCATTTTTGTACATTAGCAATGTATGTTTCTTCTCCCCTTACCCCCTTGGTTTGGGTTTTTGGTAACAGGGTGGCTTCAATAATTCAATGCTGCAGCATCTCTTAGGCATTCTTCTGCCCCCATTTGGGCATGGCAGAGCTGGCCTGCAAACACTGAGCTAAATCTATGTGAGGTAGCATTTACAGACTTTACAGAGGATGTATTATGCCCTACCTGCTCACAGCCAGACAACCCTTGTGCTGCCGGAGCATGGGTCTCAGTTGGAACAGTATGTTGGGTCTCACCTCTTGCCCCAAGGAGCATGACTCAACATAAAAGACCAATCAGAAGCTTCTGAACATTTTAGGAAGATAATCTAAGGATGAGAAGCACACTATCTGGCTAGCTCAAGGGGGTAAGTCCTGCAACCGACCTGGGCTGGAGGGGAGGAAACCCTGAAAGGATTCATAACAACCCCCCCCGTCCCCCCAGATACCAAACTGGGTTCTCAACTCCCTGGGGGAAGAAGCACAGGGTTCCCTACAAAATTAGGTATTTTATTCAAATCACATTGAATGCCCCTCTGTGGGAAGGCAAGTACAAACCACATGATGAAAGTTAACCTGATTTTTTTTTTTTTACTCTAATCCTTGCATACTCACTATGAAAGCAAGCATTGCAGAGGAGAAGCAAATTCCAGAATCTGGGTACACATACTTTCAGTTCATTTGGGCAGCTGTATCTGATGTCTGAACCAACCTCCTTGCACCCCCAAAACCCCTAAAACCATGGCCAAATGGGATCAGACCAGTGATCCATCAAGTCCAATATTCTGTCTGATAGTGGTTAGTACCAGTTGCTTCAGAAACAGGTGGAAAAATCATGTAGCAGGCAACTGTGGTGTTCACAAGGGAAGTTTCCTCCTACCTTCGGTTAGAAGTTAGCTTATAATTAAGGTATGAGTGTTTATATCTCTCCCAAAACTGGGGAGTAATAGGGGTCAAAGCTTTTCCGTGGCAATGCAAATAACATCCTTGGCAGAGAACAATCTGTTACCTTTCCAGACAATTTACATAAAGGATAGAGAAAAGAAGGAAGCGTTTAAGTCCTCCTCCTAGTCCTCAACTGGTTCAAAATGCACTTTGGACTTGCAAGCTAGTCCAGGAGCTCTCACTGCACCAGCAGAAAAGACCAGATTTCCTGAAGCAGGGACTCCTTCATCTGAACCAGGAATACCTATAATTAACAACCAGGGCATCAGAACAGAAGTGTAGTTCTGCATAGATTTTTCCATTAGCCTCTGATACAGTTTGGTATCCATGCAGAACTCAGCCAGGAAATTTCTTTCATTGGTTTGGTCAGACTACTTAAGATTCTCACATTAGCCCTTTTGGACACAGCGAACTTGCGTTCAGCTGATTGTTCACCACAACCCCACATCTTCAGCGTGACTGCTTCCCAGGCTATAATCCCCCATCTTGTAAGGATGGCTGTGGCCTTCGTTCTTTGTTCCTAGCTGTATACGTGCATACTGTTTGCTTGTGCCCCCACGTTACCAACTGATCCATATTGCTCTGTATCAGTAATCTCCTTTATCTACCACTTCCCCAATTTTTATGTCATTTTCAAATTTTATCAGTGATGATTTGTTTTCTTTCAAGTCATTAAATAGTGTAGGACCATGAACTGATCTGTGCGGGACCCCACTTGGAACTCACCACTTAGTGATAGATCTCAAAATGTAACTGTAAATGTGAAATCATAAGTTAGGCACCTTTTAATCCATTTAATGTGGACCACATTAATTTTATACCATTCTATTTTTATCAAAATGTTATGAAGTACCAAATCAAATGCCTTACAGCAGTCTTAAATATATGACCTTGTCTGAGGAAGATTTGCAAGTAAGGTTCCATTCCTTTGCAGCAGCATCCTTTTGTAGGAGGCTCCTAATGTTCCCACATAATTCCTTGCTTTATATGGGGGAACTTCCATTCCTACTTATTACTCTACTATACTGCTTATTGTTGTCCTGCTTCTGTGATTCACTGCTTTCTGGTCACTGCTTCCCATTAGTGAGAATGAGGAGAGCAGGTGTGGACCAGAATGGGGAGAAGAAAAAATGTTTATTTTTATTTATTGATTGATTGGTATTAGCTTCATTTCTCATCTCATTCCACCCATCTAGTAGTTTGGTAAATGAACAAAATACAAACTGAATTTTTTTCTAAAGAGAGAGAGACATATAATTGTCTTAAGGTTAATTAATACATTATGTCAAGTTGTTGTCTTAATGCTAATGGGTAGCTGGAGCATTTCTTCAGCTTTGGGAGAACTCTTAGTGGTCTAATCTGAAGAGCAGGGCATAAATCCTGGAGCCTCCAGCAACAACACTGGATAGTCTCTGAATTACATAGGTAGGTGGCATTAACCTATTAGAGATGAATAAGGAGAGAAGCTGCTAATACAGAGTAAACTATCAGGTAAGAAATTTGCCATTGCTTGTGCTGCATAGATTTTGCTAAAATTTAAACATAATGACAGTTCTGTAGAATTTGAACTATAAATCCTTATTGTATTTCAATAGGACTGGGCAATAAGACAAGCTGTACAGACCGAGCCCCAAAATCATTGTACATGAACACTAAAACATAACTGCAGAGACTGGGATGCAGCATGTCTGCCTTTGTATTGCTCTCTATAACAGTGTTACTATGTAGTACAGCCTCAGTGGTGGTATTGATTTATTTGTAAATTTAAACATATTTTGTGTTTAGTAAACTGTATCTTAAGACTGGATGGTCCTTTGTCCTGTGCCAGTTGTGCCATCACTATACTGCACAAGAAACCACCCTGTGCTCCTGTACAGGACTGGGCAAAGCCCAGTACTTTCATTCCCCTGAATGCAAATTCTAAATAAGGATAGAAATGACAACACTAGCCTCCCAGAGGCTCATACACATGGCTACCAATTCAGGGCTTTGGCTTAAAAGCACACCAGGCTCTTTAGTCTTCCAGAGACCATAGATATAATTGCATCAAACATACACTTTTGTGGTATTCTTTCCTGAAAAGATGCTGCTGTTTTCTGATAGTGTCATGCCACCTCATGTACTGTGAGAGGGTTATCACTGCTGATACATTCAATATAAAGATCTTTTCTGGCTCCATGGGAGGAAGGGGCTGCCATAAAATCTCCTTTTTAGATCTGGAAAAATGTAGCTAAGCAATGTTCCTCTGAACAGCGTATCAGTACCTCAACTGCAGTAATGAAATGATTGCACTTGAGGCAAGTTGGTGTACCATTGGTGTCTTGTGACACTCTTAATGTATACTATACAGAACAACTTAGAAAGGAAGCATTGTCTGTCTGACTGAAGAACCAAGTATCAATTTTTGTTATAAGAGACACTGAATTATTCATTCACTATCCTACCTCTTCTGTTTTACTGTTTCTTATGCAGTATTCCTTTGTTATTCACTCATTGCACGTATGACCCTGGAACAGAGAATTTTTCATATCTCCTCATCTTGGTAACCAGAAAGTTAATTCTGATTAGGCATGTTTCTTTAGTCATGTTAATGTTTTTTTTAAAACAAACAAACAAAAAACACCGCCTTCCAATTAGCCATGTTCCAAACCAGCTGCTAAATTTTTATAAGACTTTTAAAAATTCTCTAAATTTTCTAAATACTAATTTTATTAGTGTTTAAATATTGATGTACTCTTCTACACCCATTCTTATGCTGCTTTTTGGAATCTTCACAGATGAAAATAAGTAAAATTCCAGAAGTATCATTAGCTTTCTCCAGAAAATAGTTCACCTGAATTTTTTAGGCATAGGACAAATACGGATTTTGGAAGTTGGATGCAACTTATTTAAGTTCATGAAGTTTCACAGGTATACACCAGGTCTGTCTGGTCCAATAATTAAACCCATAACTAACTTAGAGGATTGGACACTTCCTGTTTACCCTACTGTTGTGGTTTGCAGTCACTGGAAAATGCTAACAATGAATTTAAATGAATAACTAGATCAGGGGTCAGCAACTATTGGCCGTGGTTTGCCGTCCTAGGCCAATGGGGGCTGTGGGAAGCGGCGCGGGATGAGGGATGTGCTGGCCGCGGCTTCTCGCCTCCCCCATTGGCCTGGAGCAGCAAACCGCGGCCAGTGGGAGCCGCAATCGGCCGAACTGCTGACGCGGCAGGTAAACAAACTGGCCCAGCCCTGGTGAGCCACGTGCCAGAGGTTGCCGACCCCTGAACTAGATCAAAGAGAGCAAAATGAAGACTGGTTGCTCCCTAACTACCCAATCTAACCCAAAACATTTAACATATTAAATTGGAATCAGAAAAACTTAGCTCCTTACTTAACATGAACTAATCATTTCTTGTTTTAAATTATATATTCAACTTCCTCCAGCGTTGCTAAAGCTAAATTTTGAACTAATGGATACCACAATTGTCCTGTCAAAAGCTAGATGCTGTTAAGCTGTAAAAATGTCCCTCTCAAATCTCCAAAAAAGTGCTGCTCCTGAAATCAGCGATTCATTCCAACATCAATGATTGGTCAGCTTCAAACAACAAAAATGGTCCTTCAGAATGCAAGCACAAAGACAGCCTTTAATTATAGCAGTCGCTGTGTGCTCAAGTTATAATAAAGCTGTAATCCTTTGGGTGGACATGTCTGTAATATCTCTGCTTGTGCCACACTTGTCACTTCAAACAGTTTTCTTAGCTGAAATCCATAAAATAGAATTGGTAATATCAGGTGACCTTAATTTCTCTAAATTGGAGGCCTCATGTTCCAAATGACTGCACTAAGTAAAAACTTTGTTGATCTGGGGAAAATGTCAAATTACTTTTTCCCCCCTATACTCTTCAGTTCATAATGAAGGGTACCAAATTTAAGATTCTAGCTTAATTAGAAAATGAAAATTATGTAATGCACCCCTTTATCTATACAATATACTTCCAATTATCCAGATAGCATGGGGGACAC